TTACTAGAAACGACCGGACACTGAGGGTCCAGCGTCCGGTCAACAGTGTCGGAGCGTCCGGTCAACATTTCGACCGTTGAGATCAAACGTTCACAGTTGAACGCAGGTGACACGTGGCCACCATCAGGCGACCGGATGCTGAGGAGCAGCGTCCGGTCAGTAGGACCGGAGCGTCCGGTCAGCCCGATCAGAACCCAGTGAAGGGGTACAACGACTCTATTTCGTGGGGGCTTCTATTTAAGCCCCATGGCCGGCTCAAGCTCACTCTCTTGGCCATTTGCATTGACATAGCAAACTTGTGAGCTTAGCCAAAGCCCTCCCACTCATTTCCATCATAGATTAAACATCTTTGTGAGATTGGGAGAGAATCCAAGTGCATTGCTTGAGTGTTTGCATCTAGAGGCACTTGGTGTTCGTGTTTCGCTGCGGATTTCGCTTGTTACTCTTGGTGGTTGCCGCCACCTAGACGGCTTGGAGCAGCGAGGATCGTTGAGCGGAGGGTGGTGATTGTCTCCGGCTCCGATTGTGGTGGTTGTGAGGGGTTCTTGACCTTCCCCGGCGGAGCGCCAAAAGGTACTCTAGTGGATTGCTCGTGGCTTGTGTGATCCTCATCTTGTGTTGGTTGTGCGGCACCCTATTGAGGGTTTGGCATGTGAAGCCAATTAGCGCGTGAACCTCTAAGTGAGTGAATCGCCACAACGAGGACTAGCTTGCCGGCAAGCAAGTGAACCTCGGTAAAAATCATTGTGTTCATCATTGATTCCGAGGTAATTGGTCTTCATTGTTATCCACACTTGTGATTGATTGGTTCATACATCTACACGGCGGTATAACCTTCTTGCCTACTCTTTACATTACCGCAAACTAGTTGTCAAGCTCTTTAGTGTAACTAGTTGTGAGAGCTTGTTAGTTTGGTTAGTGTGGCTCTTTAGTTAGCATTTGAGAGCACACTAACTTAGTGTAGTGATATAGCTATTGTGTGGATATACTTTATCTAAACGAGAATTGTGATAGGTGGCTTGCATTTTGGTTGGCTAGTGCAAAATTCGCTTCGCCTCATAATTGTCTAATCATTTTGTTAAGTGTTGTTGTAGAAATTTTATTAGGCTATTCAACCCCCCTCTAGCCATTAGGACCTTTCAACCGGCTTTCCAATAAAGGCTCGACCCAGCAGACGACGTCGCGAACGACGTGCAAACTTCTGGGCCGGCCTAAATACCTAAAAATGACAGGCCAGAAGGGCGATCCAGTTTCCAACCGGAAGGCCTGGCCGAAAAGGAACGGCGCCCGCTTCCGACTCTGGCCGACCTCTCCGACCGGAAGGCCTCGCTTCCGACTCCGGCCCGTCTTCGGATGGCCTCTCCGACCGGAAGGCCTGGCCAAACACCACTTCCGACTCCGACCCGCGTCCCCGACTGGGGATGCGCCGAACCCCTGCTCACAGCTCTTCTCCAACTGGCGCAATCAGAGCCGACTGGGACCAACCGATCAGGGACGCCCGCTCGGTAAGGACCAGAAAACGGACGGAGAAACTAAGGGAGGGCACTCAAGTCAACCGTAATACCAAGGACCGTACCCTGTGCACCTATAGGACAGTACCCTGCGCACCTACAGGACAGTACCCTGCAACCTTCCTAGCACGACAGAACCCAAGCAGTGTTGTAGGCGCTGATATTTTCCCTACAGTGTTGTGGGCGCCATCAACTCTCATACCAGACAAAAACGATAAGGCTCCCCCACATGTCTTTGGACATCAACAGCGTTGTGGGCGCCGGCATTTACCGTACCAAGCGAACATGGTAAAACCCCCTACATGCCTTTGGACATCAACAGTATGGCACGCACCGACGTCTGCCATACCAGAAGAAGATGACACAACCTCCTACATGCATCTGACATTAAACAGTATTGTGGGCGTCTACCATTATCTGGTACCCGTCGACGTGAGCAACAAGACTTAATAGCATACGTATTCTCTATCTCTCACTTGTAAGGTCGTTCCTTCATCTATAAAAGGAGATGCGCCCTCTCCTAAAAAGGATTGATCAGTTCACTAACACACAATAACAGAACCACTAGATTCAAACCTCGAGCACACGCTCGAACACTTAGCACATAGCTGAGCTCCCGTCACTCTCGGCCCTTTAGACCAGAGTCCGACTGGACCTCTTATACCCCTATTTTTCTCCCTTCCGTTTATAACCCCACAGCAAACTTCGAGCACATGGATTTAGGAATAAAGTCATCGACCAACTCAAACTGGACGTAGGGCACGTTGCCTGAACCAGTATAAACCATGTGTCATTGAGTGTTAAGCCACCTCCGATCACAACGTACAACAAAACTATAAATATTTACGTGTTGGTCACTTTCTGCACCGACACTACTCTTTCTGTTTTAAATTATAAGTCGCTTTGACTTTTTTTATTCATCTATTTTGCTATATATCTAGATATATTATTTATCTAGATGCATAGTAAAATAGATATATCGAAAAAATCAAAGCGACTTATAATTTGAAACGGAGGGAGTATATAAAATCAACCCGCCTCTCCAACGGATTACAGTCGTCTGACTCTGACTCCAGCGCTGCTGCTCGCTAGTGGTCCTTCCTATCCGTAGTCGTAGCTTGCCATTCCCCATGTTCAGTGCCTCCTCTCTCCTCCCAGGCTCTCTTTGTTGTGCCTCTCTAATCCACATCCATGTTGTTGTTTCCATTCAAGCCTAGCACTAGCTTCTTGCTTCCTTGGTTCCCCCTGCCATCAATCTATATATGTGCTACAAGGAGAAGAGATCGGCGAGGAAGCCGCAACCGGTGAGATGGCCGAATTCATGCGCGAACGGGAGAGGGTTGATGCCCATCTACACCTCAATCTCCCTCTTCCATGGTGCCCTTGCAAAGGACAGACATCGAGGATGGGGAGCACACGTCTCCCGCGAAGGTTCATGGGGATGGGGACAGCGATTTTTTCCCCCAGCGCGGACGGGAATAGGTACCTAATATCCGATGGGGAATTCTCCGTTGGCATCTCTCGGTCCACCACCACTGTTGTCGGCGTCTCAGCAAAGGTGAGGGAAGGAGTCTATGAAATTCATATTATAGGCTCTGGCATGTTGTTGTAGTGTTGTTGTCTCCCTACGCGGCAGTGCCCTTGATGTTAATCACCTCTCCGATCAATTCAAATCTAGTTCTAATCTTCCTTTTCTTTTGCAATTCCGAGTCATTCAGAGCTGGAAAGTTGTTACATCTAGTATATTTGCTATTCTCTACCTGCATTGATCGCCAACAGAGTCTACAACTCTACACCCTATAGATCTGCATAGAATGTCACATCAATCTTGTTTAGATAAAACCAAAAACCAACTGCCCAATATCAGGCACAACTTCGGACTGTGATTTTGGAAGACCCAAATAAACAAAGCTAAGGCAGAGAACCGACACGGTAAACATCCATCCTATCCCCTTGGCAGTAGCAAATGGAACTTAACCCGCACTGATTGGTCGAGGCAAACGACCATAAAACCAAATATCCATCCTACCTCCTTGGCAGTGGCAGTGGAAATAACCTGGGGCGACCAATGATGCAGTGAGCTTGAGTCGCACCACCCGCAAGTGAGGACGGCAGGGTGAGCTTAAGGCTTTGGCGTGCGGGTGTGAGGACAACGTCTTTAGGAGCTCCATCACCGCACAAGTGTGGAGGAGAGACATGGCCAACAGTGGGGAGAGCACAAATGGGTGCGGCATGGAAGGAGCATGAGCCAATGATGCAGGTGACCAGAGACGTAGCGGAACGGCGCGTGAAGGCACAGACGAGGAGGGGGAGGGCAGGCCCAACAATACTAGATCTCCACGCAGAAGAGATGAGGTCACACTCAAACAATGAAAAGAAAAAAATGAGCAAGATAACTAAATAGAGAGAGATAAATGGGTCCATACAGATGACACATAGGACCTGCTAATAATGGTTGATACGATGTCAAATACTTGCATCATCCTATTTTATATGGTATGATATCATAAATAACTTTAACCGTTCGTTTGTTTTATATCAGTTTTCATAATTATAAACTTATGGTCATTGGATGGTACATTTGATTACAAATCTATCGGTATCAAGTTTATATTACAATAGTTAAAACTTATTAGCTAAATTATTCATCAAACATCATGAGGTTTGAATCAGCTTCGTAAGCATGCGCCTTTTAGACTGGATCAGGGGGGAGTATTCGTGTAGGGGACATGTATATGAGTGCACAATAACATATAGTGGATTTGTGTGAGTGCACATGATAGGTTCATATCTTACGATCTTTTGTCATTACAATTATCATGTGCTCCTGATCACGTCAAGCGCATCTGGTGTAGTGGTATCATAGTACCCTCCCACGGTACTGACCGGGGTTCGATTCCCCGGATGCGCAGTAGTAAAAAGTTTTTGCCTTGCCGATGCCTTTGGGTTGGGCATTGCTTCTCCCTTTATTCAACTACCGTCTCTCTTTTCTTTTCTTGGAAATGGTTTACAGTGCCTTTAAACCTGACTACCGTTGTATACCAACTCAAACGACGGTACGTGTAGTTCACTTTCTATATCCCGTTCTCAGTAGCCTCTCTCCTCGCCGATTCGAACCATATGATATGAGACCACCAACATACAGAATACCGAATCAAATCCTAAGCTGAGTTTTTTTTCAGTAAGCAGGTCCATCGCCAGCTGTTACAATAAAGTGAAAACATGCACAATGCTCTGCATCGCGGAAGGGCATGAGGCCGTAATAAGAGAACGAACTCTAATCCTGCTCTGCATTATTCCCGGACCAGGCTATTCTTTTGCACATAGCACATGATAGCAGAGCAGCTGTACAACTGATAAGAATTTCTTCTTATTCCCTTGCAAAGAGAGATCCAGACAGTTTCGCAACAATGAGGGCAACGATCCAGCTAAGAAACCAGGATGTACACAGGTAATGTATGGAAAAGGAAAGATCTTGCACTGGTGCTTCTAATCTGTAGAGAATGCTCCCTCGCAGTACCTGTGACAAGGATGGAAACATGAATAAGAACTTTGTATAATGAAAACAAAGCCTGTGTAACTCTACATAGAGGCATCAAGAGTCAAAGCCAAAACAATCACATCTAAATGCTTCCAAACATTCGCATAGATTGTTCAGGATAGTGATGAATGGATATCACAAACAACAGGAGTTAGCCAACACAAAACAAAGCTAAGTTACCTGTTGCTGAATTTCTCTACAGCTGTGGATGCATATAGAAGTGTTTCACCACCCTTCTCTAAAGCCATGTAAAGCTCCCTTCCTCGACTAATTTTAGCAATAACCCATGCATTGTTTTTTGTTCTGATACATGCTTCAAAATCCTTATCATGACAAGGGTCACCTCTCTTGTATCTTGACTTCTCTAGATCTACTTCTTGTCTTAGCATATTGAGGGCAAGTCGAGAATCCTGCACAGTTCCATCATAGCAGACAAATCAAGTGAAAAGGACAACACAAGCTAGAAAAAAGTTTAATACGCATCTAAGAATTTATAGCCTACAAAAACATATTATCCTTACGATTTGTAGTGCACTGGAATGATATAGGTTTCTTGAAAGAATGAATGGAAGAGAGAGAGAGGGAGGGAGGGAGGGATCTCTCTCTCTCTCTCCAGAGACAGAGAGAGGGAGAGAGAGAGAGAGAGAGAGAGAGAGAGAGAGAGGGAGGGAGGGGGAGGAGGAGAGAGAGAGAGAGAGAGAGAGAGAGAGAGAGAGAGAGAGCACAAAATTTTAAAATCTACTCAACACAGAAAATCATACCTTTGCCAAGGTGGTGACTTTTCCAGGGGGGGAGGCTCTTGATACTCTTCTCTCTGGATCAACGAGCAAATAACGATATCCACTAACATGATAAGCATTTTCTCCTCCCCATCCCCGTGTCAATTTCTGCTCAACAGTGACAATCTTCTGTGATGCCTGCAATAATGATCAAATTATTGGGCATGCATTCAGAGCCATATTCTTCATATCAAATTATACCATAACCATACAGGGCATTAGTATCTTTTTTTGCATTTAACAGTATACTTTAGCTCAGCAGCGCATCTGGAAATCCAGAAAAAAAAAGATGGAATCAGAATCACTCACATTTTCAAGCATCTGCTTCTTCACATGAGTAATGCCCTCTTCTCCATTTATCAGTGAGGAAGCAGGCACCAGCAGTAGGATAGTGAGACTCTTGTGCTGATAAATGCATAGGTACATGCGCTCCTCTGCCTGCTGGAACCATAGTATTGGAGTCAAAGGTACAGCACCACGAGCTTCTGTAGCTGCGAAATCAGCAGCAACAAAGCCGTCCTTTCCCTTTGACAATTTCTCACGCAGGAGAGGCCTGAAATTACGATGCATCTGATTTTGTCCACCAGGAGAAGTATCACGAGATCGACTATGGTACCTTTCTCCTGCAGTTGTTCCATTTGATGAACTTGATGTTGGGCCAGCACTAACAGAAGTTCCTTTTCGCAAATAGGACCAAGAACTTGCATTGGAATGTAAAGCACGCGGAGTTAACCTCAGGACAGCATATGTATATAGGTTTAAAGTATCATCCTGCAGAAAAACAAACTTAAATTCCTTAATGACAAGTGAACCACGTGCTTGTAAACTAGCTGAGTGCCAGATCAAATAAAATTCCAACTGAATTAGGGATTACAGGAGACCATACCGGGGGCAGTGTCGTTGACACCAAGAGGTCTTCAAATAGTACGAGTGATTGGCAGGTGACATTTCCAAGACATGATCCAAGTACTGTGGTGAGTGACTGAAACACTAATACTTCAATGGTTGGAATAAATAAAATAAATCCATGCAACTATAGCAACTTGCGATCACATGATTCTAAATGATACTGCAAATATGACACACTACTGATAGATGGCAGGAGGCTAGTTTGAAATTTGTAAAATGGTGATTGATTGGTTCTGAAAGATTTTTCTCAGAGAGCAAACTCTACTTATAACCAGAACCAATCTTTGTGCAGTAACTCTAACCCTGCAATAAAAACAACTCTTCCTAAGGCAAATACTGATGCAGGCACAGAAAATGAATATGACAACGGAAACACTTCCCATGTTAACATAACAGCCAAGAAGGCTTGGGTAATCCAAATCCATATTAGACAAACTATGAAGTATGAATAGAACCAAGATGTAGTTTTTCCTTTGGAAACCAGAAAGGAACAAGAAACAAGAACAGTATAAGATGTTTCCCCAAATCAACAAGTTTCAGGAAAGGAACTCATTTACACTGAGTTAACCAAAGTTATGAACCCTTCAAGGTATCCAATTCCTCGCAAACCACACCATTGAAGAAACTCAATAAAATTTTGTTCAGCTGGTACTGCACCAGCTAGTATGGAAATCAGGATCGATCTTCCAGCAGGTTAACAAACCTTACTACAACTCAGGACAAGATGTGAACAGCAACTTGCACATAAGGATGATAACATGGAAATGATTTTAATTAATTAGGGGAGTAAGAAAAGACTGTCGTTTGTTTTTTTTAAAAAAACTATTAACATAAGCAGCGCAGGTTACCTGAACGTCAAGTGCCACTTCTCTTGATACTGTAAGCATTTGGACTGTTCCCCTCTCCTTTAGGCTGTCACGGTAGGTTGGAAATAGTAACTTCTTACCAACATTAAAATCTGTTCCAGAGCATAAAACAAAACATATAAATGCCATGACATTACTGAAAGATTTACAAATAGCATCCTTGCATGTTGCCAAAAATAGCGACATGAACATGTTTATGACAGCCGCAAGTAAACTTAACTAGACCCACCACTCAAATAATCTGTGAGAAATGTGCGGAGGTGACCACGAGCAAGTTCTGCACTGGGTTGTCTGTCAAGCAAAGTTCTGATTGGTCCATGAAACATTGCAAAGAGAGAATGAGCCTCTTTAAGAATCCCTTGGAGTGCACCACAACGCCAAGTCAATTCATTTTCCTTGTTTTTTTCCACAACCTACAATATCAAATTGAGTCCTAACTATTCATCAGTATCATAGTATAATACGATGCACATTCAACTTATATTGCTGTAAAGATGCTGTAAATTTGAAATAGCACAGCTCATGAAATGATGTACTAGTTCCCTAAGGAAAAGATCAAATCTCAACAATAAAACTCATAGTATTTCAGAAGATGGTGCTGTAAACATGTAGTTGTCCAAAATACATTAAGGAAAAGATCAAATCTCGACATATAACTCTATACAGCTTAGGTTAAACAGGAAAGGGTACTACAGAAAATTTCAGAACAATCATCTTTCAAGATTCAGGAGAATTTGACTTGACCAAAACGAAACCAAACTGCTTCTGCTCCACCAGAGGAGAGGCGGAGCACGAGTAGTAGTCGGAGCCAGAGCATGAGCTCTACCAAACAGGCCCTAAATCAGCATTGATACTGTTGTATGACAGGACAATATAATATACAAGGAGTAGTGCTCTCTATATGAGCTATCAGGTAAATAATTTCTACATGGAGATAATAAGAGCAACGCTATCAAGAAGCATACTCGTTGACAAGCTGGCAAAACAAAATATTATACATTAACAGTAGCGAACTAGAAGAACTAACCAACACAAATGAAATGCATGTAGAACTTCTGAACCAAAGTTTCAGTGCTACCCGGAGATAAATTGACATAGTACTTCAAGACTATATTGTAAAGGCTAAGTGTGTGGGGTGTATGATGTAAGGGCTCTCTTGGCCCTTTTTACTTCTTCTTAATATAAAGATACACAGGTCTCCTGTGTGTTGGGTAAAAAAGGTATTAAAGTAGTGAAAAGCCATTACCAGAACCATCCAAATATCCGTTTCGGCTTGGTAAAAAACATGGGAGTGTTTCTCTGATTCTATAACCTCGCAATCCTCTTCCGGGGAAAATATTCTGCATATAACTAACATTGAGAAATAAGATGATGGAACCCAGCAATATTAGGCAATAAATGAGTTATCAAAAGTACAGAGTCAGGAAATGTTTGGATGGCAATTTGGGGAGAATATCCTATCAAAGAGCAACTGGAAGACATAATGTGACCACAAAAGAAATGTTGGTTATGAAGGGCTCCGATATACTGATGTTAACCCCCATGTCAGTTTGAGTAATCATTCATAAGTATTTGCAGTTGTCTAGAGATCTACAGGAATATGTGAACTGTGAACACTATGAAATGAACCAGTATACAAATGTTATTACTAGTAAAAGAGTACATGTTTCTACTTTCTAGATCCGCCACTGTTGGTAGGTGAACTTAGGAACCAAAGCCATTCGCCCGTTGCCAAAAAAACACTAATCTTTTACTAAGTCCAGAATTGTTCTTGCTTGAAAAAAACCCTGAGATTACCACCCAAACTTGCATACTCGAGCATCCTACGGATTTGAAATACTGAAGTGAAGCTAGAAGCCTAGGCGCTGTTGTAGCACTCTAGAAAGCTTGAGTTCAATTCTTTTCCTACACGCTGAAGATGCTGCTGCTGTTGGTGGTGAGAAGGAGCACGAGCAAACCAAGAGCTTCAAATTGCCACGAACTACACAATAGAGATGCGTGAGAGCGAAGGCAACCTAGTGAAAGTGACGATCCCCTCGCAGAGGCCGATGACGGAGAGCTGGAGCAGGATGGGGCAGTCGGCGGGGTGGAAGAAGAGGATCTTGTCGAGCTCCTGGCCCTCCTGCTGCCCCCTCCGGAGGTCGAACACGCAGAGCTGCGTCCCGTCGCCCGCGGCGGCCGACGAGAGCCCCATTCGAGACCGGGAGCTGCCGAGGCCCGAGGGGTCACCCCGCGGGACACGCAACCGCGAGCGAGTGGACCCGAGGCGGGCGGAGGATAGGTGGGGGCGACCACGCAGCCCGGACTGATCCGGTGCGGGGCGGGTCGCCGGAGAGGGAGATCCGGCGGGCTAGGGCCCGCGGCGTCGGTGACCGGACGGGGTGGAGGGGGGGAGGCGGGTGTGGACCGGTGGCTGGCTGGGTCGGCGACCGACGCAGGCGTGCGGCGCGGTGAGGCGCTGTGCGGGCAGGTGGGACGGGGAGGAGCTGGTCGGTGGGGGAATTGATGACTTGGGCCTCGCCGGCGGGTAGGTGGCGCCCCGACGGGATTCGGGCCTGCCCAATTGTGTGTGGGCTTGCGCAGCCCAGGAGCATGGGTGTGTCAGGGTCACGGCCGCGCGCGGGGACGTGGGCCGACAGGCGACGGCCACAGCGTTGGTTTGGAAATTTGGAGGAGCGGACCGCACCACGGATGGCATGGCGGCAAGTGGCAATGGATGGCTGATTTGGCTATAGCTCTTTTGTCCGCACAACAAATGAAAACGCCCAAAAAGTGGAGGCAAATCCCGTGGACACCAGGTCCAACCAGTATCCCCTGCGACCCGGTGTAGATGGCTGACACGTGGACAAATAATCCAATCAAACGACCACTAGTTTGACCATGCATGCACAACGAGTATGTTGGGGCCTGTTTGATCGGCGTTGTAGTTTGCCAGGCCTGACTTTGGCAAACTATGACCGCCACAGAAAGTGCAGCGAGCAAATCAAAGTCACATTTGTAGCAAGTTTTGACACGAAAATGAGTCTATGATATGTGGGGAAGGGTGCTAAGAAAGTGGCAACATGAGCTCCAAGAGGCGAAGAGGATGCACCAGAGATGGGTGAGTTTACACATAGTTTTGACAATTTAACCTACTAATTGGGTTTGAATTGGGTGGATTATAACCATTATACCGGCTGTGAAGGAAAACGAGAGAGCAGAGAGTAGGGTGCACGAGCGAGAAGCATCGCAAAGCTGAGACAATGAGAGATGGAGGTTGCGACTCGCCCCCCCCTCCCTTTTTCCTTCCTCATCATCTCTGCCTTCCTCTTTTCTCCACTCTCCGGTGGCGAAGGCCACACCACCGCGCATCTAACCACTCAACATTGCCAATAACACATTCAACCATGGTAAGTTGTAGCTCAACAACGTCTCGCGCTCACTTCGCAGATGGGGTAATTGATGTTTGTAGATGCTAGCGTGCATCCCCTAGGTGGCATGGATCACGACACCCAAGCTCGCGTGCTTGATCTGGCTGCTCTCTGTGTCTGACCCATTGTGGCCATAGTGACCTTTTTGGGCACAATGTATCCGCTGTGTCCGCGCCGAAGGCGAAGGTGGAGGCGGCACCATTACTGAAGATGGGACAATATAACCGCTTATGGGGCTCCTAACCAAGATGGTGCTGGCAACGACAGCATCACTCCTCTTCCTGATGCAGGTTCAGAAGGAGCAAGAGTGAGGAGTTTGCGAGAGAACGAAGAAAAATGCTTTGTTTTCATGTACTACTTCAGCCCATGGATTTGATGTGTCTAGAAGGGGCAAGAGCGAGGAGTTTGCAAGAGAATGAAGAAAAACGCTTTGTTTCATGCGCTACTTCAACCCAATCTATATCCACCCAAATCATTGTAAAAATTGTTTCTACGATTTGAAAGTGATTTGAAAGGGCCTAACACACGTGGGTTGGCCACATTTCCTTAAGGATGCATAGCCTCTGCTGCTAGGGATGTAAGTGGATTGGCCCGCGAATTATGAGTTTTCGTGATAACCCACAAAAGTAAGCCTATATTATAGGTTTGTGGGCTAGTTCACTTGCATCCTATCTACGCCCAGGATCATTCTCAGCCCAGAAATCTCCCTCAAACCGCGCATCAGTTCCATAAATGTCGTGCTGTGTGTGAAAAGCAGGTAATAGCGAAAAACTAGATGAGAAACACGACCACACTGACATTGGACACTGATAACTAACATATAGGATGTGTTTGGTTCCCTGGCTTCACCCCTGGCCAGGCTTCCATAATATAACTTGGGCCTGTTTGGTTGCATGTAAGGCCCTTCTACCAAGCTTATGCAAGCCCACGAGGGGGGTTTAGCCAGGCTTGTTGGAAATGCTCGCCCCCCTCATTTCTGTGGAGCCTGGCTTGCACAAGAGCCGTCCCTGATTCCACTCACCCCCGACACGTGTGGCAGAACCGTCCAAAATAACATGCTTTCGGAGGCACTCGTCTTTCACTAGACACTAAGCACCTCGAAAGTGAGCTATATCGGATAGTTCCGTCGAGCACACCCCAAGGGAGAACTCAAAAATAATTCACGTTTTACATCCAGAATCCAATAATGAGTACGAGCTTACAATACTTAGTCTATTTCATACAACAAGGGTTCTTGGAAATTATTTATTATAATACCAGAGTTCAGAGTGCGATAATTAAACAACGGAAAGAAAAAATAAACATCTAGTGAAAACGATACAAGGATCCGTTTGTGCCCACCAGAAGAATCCTCCACACAAGAGTTACTACTCAAGCTGCACCTGCAACATGGGTAAAATAAACCCTGAGTACATAATGTACTCGCAAAACTTACCTGACAAGTGGGAATAGTTTCCCAACTCTCAAGGATATGATAGGCAATATGGGTTTGTTGTTTTCTTTTTTTTTACAAAAAGCATTACTAAGAGTTCATCCTTATAGTCAAGTTTTATTAGTAGTCAAGATTACTTCATTAGCTAACCATTCTAGGTAAGCACTTGTTCTACTTTCAAGCAAGGGTTAAGCAATCAGAACTATTTCACCATCTTTCATCTTTCTGTTCTTACTACGGTGCTAGACCATAGGTAAGTCGTACCGTCTCACAGAAACGGCGATTCGCGAATTAATGTATCCCAACTGGGTACCCCAAAACACATGCCCCATTTGTACCCCAAGCACAAACAAGACCAACCCATTCCACTCCTGTCACGGGTTCCAAGTCCCCGTCTAAACTTGGACTCCAAGCCCCCACACTTGAGACCCGGTCTCAACATGGTGCTTAGATCTCCACCTTTCCCCGTCTCCAATTAGTCGGACCAGAAAGAGTCGGAACCCACGACAAGAGTTTAACGAGCCTTCCCGCTCCCATAAACAAGTATGTGCTCAGGATAATAAGTTTATGACCTGACTATCGTTCACAGCAACGGACGGTCCTTAATAGACACAAACAGGGAAAACAATGTAACTAAACTAAGCTCCGTTGGCCACGGGACACAACCTATTACACCCACCAATACTCATACCATATCCCTGCCTTTCCATTTTTCCTTTTATCATTTTATTATGAAAGTAATAATAATCCCCTATTGTGAGCAAAGACAGTTACTCACGCTACCGATGACCTAAGCATAACATCTACTCGAACCTACACTAGTAAGACTCTTAGGACATGTATATCTATGCATGTGGTTTTCATAAAATTTCTATAACATAAATGCACAACACACAAACACACATATATATATATGGTGAATTATAAAATAGAGGTTATGCACCAGGGCTTGCCTTGGGCAGGCGCGGTATCAGTTGAGTCAGTCAGTGGCGGCTCTAGGACCCCCTCCTATAGGAGAATCTCCTTCTCGTACTCCTCGATGATCTCCTTGAACTCATGATCGCTGGTGGTCATGATCTCTACCAACTCGTTCTCTACATGCATGCGATGATGATGCAACACTTAACATTTAGGCAACAACAACTCTTAAACTAAGAATACGCATACTAAGCTACTAAGCTAGCTCTAATGACTAAGGTACTAAGCTAACTACCATTTTGATTAAGCAAGGTGTTGGGTTCAACTAACAAACATTTAGCTTAGCAAACCAAGGGTATATCTTTATTTCTACTAATGATTTAATATATATTAAAATAGAGAGCATCCAACTACCCTAATGCTTAATCTATTCTAAAGCTACAAAAATTACAGTGAGCACATAATAATACATTAAAGCTACTATAAAAATTTTAGGACTAAAGTTATCACCAATTTACCACAAAAATTCCTACAATAATTAACTTAATATTATTAAGCATTCTCAAATAATTTAATAGCTCCTAATGTCAACACATATAAACATAAACTAAATACACCAACAAATTGAGCACAATTTTAGGAACCTAAAAAAATTTGTTTCACAATTTTTTGACACCTACATGATTTTATATTAATTATCAAAGATCAGCTTAGAATTTAAATTAGAAAACTATTTACTAATTCCTTATGAAAAAGAAAATTAAATCTCCCACGTGGCCCACACGCGCGGCCCATGCGACCGGCCCGCTCGTGAGGTGGCCCACAATGGGGGAATCCCACATGCATTGGCGCTTTTGCGAAAGAGGCCTCGCACTTATCCCAAATCCCAACTAAGTGCTAACACTATTTCCCTCTCTCACAGGCCTTCTCACTTAACCCTCCGACCTTTCCCTAATTCACCTGCGTGCACCCCCAGCGACTTAGCGCATGGCAGCGCGTCGGGCGGTGACACGGCACGACCGTGCCAGCCACCAAAGGCTCGTGCTGGCCCATCGGTCGAGCTAACCTTCGACTACAGTCTAACCGCCTACACTAAGTAGCAACGTGGGGGCGGTGCGACGCGCTGGAGTGAGCTTCAGTGACGGCGACGCCGACCATCCATGATGGTGGTGCACCTGCTCTGGCAAACCAGGGCACCTAAGGACCTAACCGGATAGCGAGTGAGCATTAGTAGACTACCGTGGACCTAGACGAGGTGACGGTTGGAGAAGAGGGTGATCAGAGAAGGGCTGGCCACGTATGACCGAGCTGTATGCGGCGGCGCATCGCAGCGGCACGGTCGCGTCAACGACGATGGAGAGGTGGTAGCGGTTCCTCTGGCATGCACAAGGTGGAGAGGGAGGCAAGGCAAAGTTAGTGGTGCAGGTGAATTGG